AAAAAAACGACCTTTAAGGGGATATTACAGGGAGAAATTTTGTTGGAAAATTTAGACCCATAAGAAGCAGCCCTTGTCCTACCAGAAAAAAAAAAAAACAGAACGTGTGTCAAGTTTGCGAGGTTCAAGCTCTCTTTCCTGGCCTAATAGAAAATGGTGCATTTCTTTGCCGAATTTTAGTAAGCAAAATAAAATGAAGTACTGTGCGTTCAATTTAACTTGATGACATTTTCATTCGCTGTACCTGTTTTGTTTTTAAAGATATCAAGGTAAACAAAAAAACAAAATGTAGCGTTAGTAGCTTTTTTTCAAGTTACATATAAAACAAAACACCATCATAAATGTGTTTGATAGAATATCTTATTCCGATTACAATGATTTAACACAGTTTAAATTTTATGTCCACTCGTTTTTGACAAATCGGCAAAAATACTTTTGAAGTGAAACCTATTAGGCGGCGGTCTGATATTTGGGACGAGAATGTATATAAAAATTTCATATTTTTGCCGATTTGTCAGAAACGAGTGGACTAAAATATGAACAGTGTTATATCATTGTAATCGGAATAAGATATTCTATCAAACACATATTATTATATAAAATACATTTGAAAAAATAAAATGTAGGCCCATATGTCAGAAAATTGACAGTGTTCTGTTTTTTTGTTTATCTTGATATCTCCAAAAACGAAAAAGTTACAGCAAATTGAAATCTTATTAAGATAAATTGAACGCACGGTACATTGAAACATTATCAAAGACTACTTTCTCTTACAATTTAAATAAATAATCCTTTATTTACACCTTTATTTAACAAATTGTTATCAGCAATATGTTTTCCTCTCACATTTCACAGAGTAATCAAAAACAAAAAACAAGGCAGGTTTTGTTGATCATGTATTTGTTAAACTGTAATATGAGCAAAATAAAGACATTGATCTTGACATTGATGAATAATAGTGGCATTCCTGCAAATTGGGGTATTTCGAGAGGTACTTTCTCAAAATAGGTTTATATACCTCTTTAGATTTTAATGTTTTCAAGGTTTATCAGGAATTTCGGATTGAATTAGTGATTTCTCAGAGTTCAGGCAATTTTTTTCTCAATGTTAATTTTATATAGTTAGGTACCCAATTTTACCAGCAATTTCGTTTACAGCACTTTTGCTGCACGTGGGCATACAAAAATGTTAGTGATATAAGTTAGAAGCGAGGTAAGAAGTAACCAAATATGAAAACACACACATTTTCAGCCAGGTTTGAGTTTTTTTTTTATGGATTTTCTGACAATTGTTTGAAACCTTTATTTTTTGATTCAGTTACTTAAGCCATCAGTACTTACCAAGGTATTTAATTAAACAGGTACTGAGGTAAGGTACCTATTATTTTGGAAAATCTTTTACCAGTGTTCTTTGTTATTAAAATTGAAATGAACATATTTTTTCGAAGATCTTTCAGATGATGTCATTCAGGCCTTTTAGTCTCAGAAACTAGAGCTTACGGGTGCTTTTTTTCTCATATCAGCTGCATCAAAAATTTGGGAATAAGGGCTTTGCTCAGACTGGAGCCAAGCGGACTACTATAGAGGTAACACAGAATTCACAGGAAAAGATATCTAGCATACGTAACTTCAGTCTCGATAAAAGTATACAATTATTTTTTTTCCATGTGTCCTCACTCCACCTTTATCAAATTTGTCTTATGCTCAATTTTATGTTGGTAATTAATTATGCAAGTTGCATTGAGATATTTTATGAACTCTCAGCTTCAGTACCTATCGCTTTAAGTAAGTATTAACCTCAGGGACTATGTATTAATCAGGTGCTTTTCAGGTGCTAATTAGGGCCTCTAATTTAAAATTAGGTGCTCCTTCAGTTTTTGAGAAAATCAAAAAATAACTAAGGGACAGCTGGCTTTACGTTTACTAGGAGGTGTATTTGCAACAAATCTGATTACAGTGGCTAAAATGTTGTATCGGAATTAGGTGCTATTTAAGTGCTCCTAGATAGTTGTAACGTAAAGCCAGAAGTGTCCTAATTATGAAAAAAGTCTGCAATTCAGTTAATCACTCGGGTAATAATTAACTGATTAAACTTTTTCTTTGACTATTTAGGAGCACTTAAATACCTAGGACCTAATTCCAATAAAACATTTTAGCTACTATCATCAGATTCGTTGCAAATACACCTCCAAGTAAACGTAAAGCCAGCAGCCCCCTAATAATGAAAAAAATCTGTAATTCAGTTAATAATTGACTGATTCAAGTTTTCAGGGTACTTAGGTTTAGCAGTTTTCCTACCCGTTGTTTTATCCATCAACTCACCGGCACAACAACAAGTCAACAGAAATTCTCTGATGAACAGCAGTCAGACAATGTTGCCAACAGTACAGTGAATAAAACAACATGCGTTCAACTAACTCAAACTAGAGCTGGGTAAAAGTTTAAGGTAAGGACAGCCTTAGGGTTAGTTTGGGATAGTTTGTTAATAAGAGACAGCATCAAATAACAAAATCTTATTAAGTTTTAACTTCTTTGCTAGTTGCCATGTTACTTAGTAAATTACTACATAGAATTCAAATTGCTTTGTGCCTATGACATATACACCAAGATTTCATCCCAATGAAGCTTCTTATTTAACTACCAGAACCAAAATGAAACTAATATTATCAAGTGGCTTGATGGTCAGGAGCTAGGGAAAGCCACGAGTATCGAACATACTTTTTTTCATTTTTAGGGGACTGCTGGCTTCACATTTACCTGCGGGTGTATAATTACCTGATTCAATTTTTTCTTTGACTATTTAGGAGCACCTGAAAAGCACCTAATTCTGATACAACAGAAAAATTTGAAAGAATATTTTTCACTATAGGGGACTGCTAGCTTTCATAAACCTACCAGTCCCTTTTTTTTTTTGATTTTCTCAAAAACTAAAGCAGCACCTAATTTTTAATTAGAGGCCCTAATTAGCAGCTAAAAAGCACCTAATTAATATAGTTCCCGAAGTTTTTTTTCCATCATAGGACTGCTAGGTTTATAGACCTTATTTATTGGCTGAAAAATTGCTAAACCATGAAAATCCAATAAACTCTATGATAAATGATGAATCTCAATAAACTGGTTAATAAACTGATACCTAACTTTTCTTGAGAAATGATAGGTACAATAAATCACAGTTCATATAAAAGAGATGTTTCTTATAAATAGTGCTTCTTCTAGAATTTAAAAAAAAAATAGCTGAATACAAAACTTGTAGGGTTTTATTAGAGGTTTTATCTCTTTTATCTTTTGCACATGTCAATACGGGCAGATGATAGGTGCCAACTGTCGTAATGACAAGACAAACCCATGCATTTTTTAAAATTGAACAACCTGTTGAATGGAAGAAATTTTTCTTCTGATTCCAAACACAGCATTTATGTTGATATTTGGTTCAGCCGTTTTTGTGCTATTTTAGACCCTGTACGTACCTAATACCGAGCCTAATACCCGAGCTAATACCTATGTATACAAGTGGGTATATTGTATATTAGACAAACTTCAAGGAGAGTTGGTTGGAGCTTAAAATTGCATATTTTTATATTGAGATTGATGTTGAAATTGTGTTTAACACTCGGTTTAACATGATAAATTATGAAAAAAAAAAATTCAGAAAATATACTCAAACTCTTCGGGGAACTAAGTAAGCCCTAGAGTATATAATTAGGTATATACTCGGGTATATATTTGCAAATAGGATTATTTATGTTATATTATAAGGAATTAAATACAATTATTAAAACGCAGATAAATGCTCTGAGAAATCATAAAAAATATGACGAATTCTCGAGTAATTTTTGTACATCCGGTCATTTAAAAATAATCATACAAGCATCTCTGCAAGTTTGCTATACATAGGTACATTCGAAGGTACATTTAAAATACTGCACAACACGAACACAGTGATGTGCTGTATGCATGCATCCTACTAAGTAGGGAAAAATCAGGGTTGATAAAATATATAGATACTACATATTTTTCCAAATAATTTTGAATCTTTATGTTTTGTTTCGTTATGACAAAACTAATATTTCCATTTGAACATTATAACACATAGGTTATACAAGTTCAGCAATATTGTTTTTTTACTTAAATATCAGTAAGACCCTCCTTTTCTATAAATAGATTATTCAAAGTTTTATATTTGTGAGAAGCAGCTAAATTTCTTTTCAATTATTATAATTAATTATAAATATTCGAGTAAATATTACCACATAAAATGTCTATATAGGCATAGAGTCTATAGGTTTTATTTTTTATGAACAAACATATTTTAAGGTATTCATTCAAATTTTAGCTCCCTTTCTCAAATTAATCATGATTTTATTTTATAAAAATCATTGTGATCGAAATCATGATTTTAATCATATCTCCAAAATATTCAATTTTCACCAAGTAGGTAGGTACCTATTATTGAGTAAAAATAAATTGATATTCATGATAAATTTTAAAAAGCAAAACTCCAAGATAGGCATTCTTTTTTTCATTAATTTGTTTATCTCGTGATTGAGGATGCTTATCTATGTAAGTTAAAATGTTTCAAGCAAAAATATAACCTCTATTCAAAGCAAAAAAAGGTAACTAACATCAAATTAGAAAAATATTTGCAGCATTAACCTCACTACCGGATTACTTTCGCAATTGCTGGAGAAAATTGTGTATGGGAGATAGAAGCCTACCTGTTCAAAAAACTACCTAGATAGGATTGTGTTTGGCCACATAAAAAGCCGGTAAAAACAAATGGAATATTAGGTTGAGTCACTGGAATATATTTTGTATTTTCATTGAATTCGCGTTTCACACACACTGTTACCTCTCTGCGAAATGAGAGAAAGGCAGATTCATCAACCAGGCAAGCTATGAATCAAAGGCACGCTACCACGGATTTTCTAGCAAATACTGACCCTAAGACTCTTTAGTAAAACCCAAGCAAATATAAAAGAACACTTCGCACTTCGCACTTACTTTTTCGCAGATTTGTGACAGAAACAAAGAGAAGCCCAAGGAGCCACGCTTTTAGTGGCTGGAGATTTCTTATTTCAGTAAACACACAAACACTTTCACTTTCTACTGGATTTTTTACTACTAAACTCGGAATCGATCGTCGTTACTTTACCTGATTTGGTTTATTCAGATGAATCGCAGCACTTTTCCCGATTTTTGGTTGAATTAAGCGAAAGCTCACTGCTCACTAACATCCCCGCTACGGCGCATCAAAATGGCGGACGTATACGAAAAACGAAATCCACATACGACTACTTCAACGACATAACGTTGCTTCGCCCAGCGAAATGATCGTTCGGAGCGCGCACGCCCTCGCCATCTATCAGAGAAAGGCGAAGTCCGTTTATGGACAATGTACCGTTTTCTGTTATCGTCAAATTTTTGTACAGCAACTACTCCGGTTGTTTAGGGCGTGTTTCGGTTAATGCTCAGTGAATCGAGCGGAGCGGTCTCTGAGCAAGATGTCACGGAGTACACTACTCTGACCAAAGCAAGTCTACTTGTCCAATGAAAATTGCACTGATGTTATTTTTCAAGTGTGGGAATCAACAGCAAGCAAAATATAATTTAAATTTGTTTATTCTTAAATTTAGCTACAAGCCACAAGTAGTGAAGGACCCACTGCGCATAAGCGCTAACTAGGAATAGATCAAAGCTGTTTTCTTGCGTCCACTTATTGAAACTGGTTCAAAACAGGTTTGAAACAGAATGAACGCGATGAATCCATGACGTCACATCAAAATTGGTTCAAAACCGTTTCGAAATACATACAATCCAATTAAAGCATTCCAAGGCTATGTTCTGATATCAACTGTCAGTACTGAATTTACTGGACGCCGATCAGACATTATTTTCAGTACACTGATTCAGTGCTGAATGACGTTTTGAATGCGCGAGTGACGTCATTAATAGCTCGTTTCGGCTATTCAGCGCGGAGTTGGAGTGGAGTGAACAGAGCTAATGGAGTCACCCCTAATACGGTAAAAAGCAATACCCGAACCACAGCTTACTATAACATTCAGCTAGGTAACTCTTTTGGCGGGAGCGATTGACGCCGAACCTCGCGCGCATGTTTCAAGCCCCGCCTTTGGACGTAAAACACGGCACGGGCGCCCGTCAGAAGTAAAATTAATTTATTATGCTCGTGATTTTCGAGGTGTTACCATTGGCGTAGTTTCTTTTCTTGTGTGACTTATTATATGGAGAAATCAATAATAGATTCAATTTATGAATAAACGTAGAATTAGTATTTACGTAGAAGTAGTAGTGATTAATAATATGTGCCCAACATAATTATCAAAGACATTTTTATAGTTTTGTTAACTACAACTACATATTGTAATATAATGTAGAATAAAAATAATATTTATTACATGTATTTTTTTTTTTTTTTTTTTTTTTCATGCTTCTGTGAGTATAACTAAGTTAAGTAAGTTTCTGAAAAGTCTACCAGTAAAATAAATCCGGAAGTTTAATAATAGCCTCATTAATAATTATCTCTTAAAAAGGTTGGCAGGTTAAACATTATTAGAAAGTGTTCAATTTATTAAATAAAGTAAAGCCCCCATTATTATTACCCGTTTTAATTATTTTTAATTATATCGATTAAATCATTTTATAACACATTAAACAAATTAATAATAATACGACTCTGTCTAAAGAATGGAAATATTTTTAATCCGACCCCGACTTTTAATTCCGGCGAGAGAGAGACAGCAAGCGTCGGCCTATAATTTTTCAGATTCACCAAACATGCGGAGCGGGCAACGAGTGATCTAGCTGAATGTTATAGTAAGCTGTGCCCGAACCTTAACCCGAACGGCTGGAATGCGAATGGAGTCACTCGGAGTGCACGGAGTGAGCAAGCCGAACCCACCTAATATATACTGGACCCACCTAATATTTACTGGACAGGGATTCTAGAATCACGATTCGACACACGACTCGAAAATGAGACGATTTTTTTCCGAAAATCCTAGGTTGGAATCTCATTGGAATCATACCTTTCGAGACGACAGGGTCGGTATCGAGTTGCGTCTCGTTGTCGAGTCGTGTCTAATCGTGATTTTAGAATCTATATACCTGCTGTACTTTTTTTTCCAGCAAAACAGTACGCTGTTGAAATTGGAACGGCAAATGATGACAGTAAAATCAGTACAGTAAAATCCAGTACTGGCAGTTGATAACGGAACATAGCCAAAGTCACGTGACTTTTGACATACAATATGGCCGGTCATTGGCATACAAACCAAATACAAGTCATTAAATTAAACTATAGCAGAAGTTGGAATTTTACCTGTAAAGGTTTAATCATAAAATCCTCATTATTACCTGTGAAGTAGGGAAAAGTAATTAAATAGGTCTCCACGAAACTGATGGCTCGGAATATGGTTTCTCGTCTCGCGCTGCATAGAAATTATTATTCTCCAAAACTGGCAAGTTCAGTTTAAATTGTGTTCAGAATTTTGCTCAAAAAGCAGAGAGTGCTGAAGCGGAGCCGTAATCATGTGACCAGCGAGCAGAGTTAAACGCTGTATCAGAGCGCTCGAAATTTCAATGAACGAGCGCGAATGAGCATGCACCGAGTACACTTTTCAAATAAACGAACGGTAAATTCAAGAGCGAAGAACTCAGATCAAAATACCGAACGCACGGTTACGGTTACATTAAAATTAGATATTTTCGTTGCGTTCGGTATTTTGCTCAAAGAGCAAAGCGTGCTGAGCGGAGCCGTAATCACGTGACCAGCGAACGAACAGAGCAGTTGAAGGCTGTATCAGAGTGCCAGAAATTTTAATAAACGAACGCGAATGAGCCTGCACCGAGTACACTTTTCAAATAAACGAATGGTAAATTCATGCTCGGAGAACTCAGATCAAAATACCGTACGCACGGTTAGTTGATCTTGAACCAACTTGCAAAGCAGCCGCAAACCGGTATATGGAGAAAACACAATTTCTTAGCACTAATCCATTTTTGTCTTCTATAGCCAAATAATTAATTTAACATGCGGAGCATATATGTTTGAAATTGAAATTTTCACAAAATCCTGACACTCCAAATAATGAAAATACAGAAAAATATTGTTCTCAAATACACATTTAACGCCGTGTTTACCTATATTTGTGTGCCAAATGACCGTCCATTTCGGATTTTTTTGACAGGAGGATGGAATGCCTAATTGTCGAAGGTTCGAGGGACCCTCGATACGAGACGAGAGAGCTCTTTTGTTTCGTCAATTTTGACGCATAGTAGGTTAGTTTCGACTCTCAGGTCAAGAAAATGCAAAAATGTATTCTCGCACCATAACTTTAAATGTATAAAAACGTAATATACCCCTAATAGCCATATAGCCAAGGTTCTGGAAAATATTGGCATTGTATATTTACGTTTTTATCAATTAACAAAAGGTTGGGGATGCCCAAGATTGTTTGAACTTCAGGAACCTTGGGGGACGCCACTTGAATAGGGGAGACTAATGAAAACGAAATAAGGCCGATATCTCGTATTCATCGTTCATTGAAAAAATTCGCTCGGACCCGTCGATTTTTATTCGGAGGGGGAAATCTTTTGCACATACATAATTTCAATATTGTCACTTCAACCCTCTCGCGGGGGTAAGAGCTCCAACCCTTAAATCTCAAATGGCATTAGGGGTCAAGTGCGATACCTTATTTCAAAGGTCATCGAATTCTCTTTTCAACGCAACGGTGCCTAGTTTTTTGAATTTACTAAGGTTTTTTTTTTAAAGATACGTAAAATAAGAATGTATTTAGTTGAATTTTATTGAGTGATAAAGAAAACCTAGAGTTAAACCTTGTGATTTCAAGTTGGGTAGGACACGACTTAAAAAAAAAACACACAAAATTGTTATAGCTACAAAATTGATATAGTGCTCAAAATGACTAAAGCAGTACTAGTAACGTCTATTTTTTAATGCGTTTCTCGAAAACCACTGCATCAAATTCAAAAAAATAGGCACCGTCGCTATAGGAACATTTTGCATACAATATTTGTGCAAATTTTCGAACTAAGCGAGATTAAACTCCTAAGTCCATACGGTGGATACGGATGTAAATCCAATCCACGTTTTGGAATTGACGCATGCGTTCTTCTCACTATGACATTTGAGAATGGAGTTATATGGGTATAATTGATGTTATTATTATTATAGTTCGGCAACTATTAGCGTCACAATGACTTCATACTTCTCGACCCAAGAAAATGGATATTTCCTTGACTCCCTGATAGTTTTTCAATGGCTGTGTTTTTTTTTTAACTGGCAGAACGAATTTCTGCTGAACGATTATTACTGAAAATGATTGTTTCTTCTTAACCAGCATGCTGTATTACTATTGATTTTGGAACGGATCTTAGTATTGTTTATTGACATTATTGACAAAGCTAACCTAACTATACAAGTATAATACAGACTACAGACTACTACAGATTGCTTATCGGCCTAGTTTTTGTGAATCGCTGCTATATTGTGTAGCATCATTGACGACGTCATCAACTACGTCATCAGCTGTTTCCCACGTGTTATCCTTGGTTTGCTCCAGCGGTCGTAGTTTAGAATATACATTTATAACGAAAAATATTATTTAATTTTGATTAACTCAATAGACAATGAGGAAGATGCCAACGAGATCTAAAAATTCGTTGTTTTAGAATGTTAATTAATGTACTAAAACCACGTATGCTTTAGCAAAAGCCCGCGGAATCATAACCTGTGGCCTGCGTTCGTTTATTCGATCTGTGCGCATCGTGCGCTCGAAATCTATATACATAAAACACAGTTGTGTTTTGTGGAAGCACTTATAACTCGAGAACGGCTGGACTGATTTTTATGATTTTTGCTTTATTGGATTTGTCTTTGTCTATCCTAACATAATAAATCGAAAAAATCCAAAAAAAAATACCTTTTTTACTTATTTATGAAAAAAAATTAATAAGCCCGCATACGGCGCCATCTCTTATAACCGATACCAAGTTTACCGTCCCATTTTCATTGCAAACCATGTGGATTTTATTGTCACACACTTTGCACAAAAACAATTTAAGGAAAGCACTTTACTTTCAATTGTACTTCACAATAAAAATGTCCAAAAATAAATAGAATTACAATGTTTTAATTGTGTATTTTATTTTGTTGTTGGTCCATTCCGAAAGAGCGCGAACTGGTCTTCCTGTCATTTCTTGACGCTTGACCATTGACGTTCTGTGGCTAAGTTGCGTTTCTCCTCTCAGGCATCCCTTGACAGCCGTGTT